TATTGATGCTTCATATACGAATGATGATTTTTTTTTTTTTTTGATATTACATGAAATCGAACAGCAAACCTAACATCCCCTAAACACACCCCACCACTAGGCTATCCCTAGTGGTAGAATAAATGAACGAACGAATGATGATTCTCTAATTCTTATCCATGACATTTCTTACTAGTATTATTTTACTATGGATAGGAGATGTGACGGAGAAATAATAGTTGGATGAAAGAGAAATATATCTCAGCAATGCTAACAAAGTATATATTCTTCATTTATTGGTGTGTAATTTTTGCAGCGTGATTATCTACATGTATTATTATAATAATCTATCCTAAAAATTAATTTAGTAAAAAGTTTCCCACTTCTTGCCGAATAATCCGTCATTAACTCATTTGGAATAAAAATAGAAATTATCTTCTTTGTTTCTGAAGAGTAATCTATCTATACTTAATTCTAATACTTGTAACCTAGAAGATTAAGTCTTTAACTTTTATCAATTTGTAAAGAAATTTTCTAATTATGCGCCTCTACTTTTTTGAGTTTGTTGTGTTTTTTGTCTGCCTGGAATTTAATTTTGTCGTTTGAAGACTGAAAGCGAAATATGAACAGAAACACAGGGAATTCAGAACGAAAGAAATCCTCAATCATCTCATTTTCACATGTCATGAGTATCGTGTTCGTTAAATTGTTGGGAATTCGTAGGCTTATTTTTAACCGAGTAAATATTTTTTTTGGTCCCTAACAAAAAATATAGTTATCATTTTAGTCCTTTATAAAAATAAATTAGTCAGTTAGTCCCTAACAAATTCAAAGTGTACCCATTTAGTTGAAATCGTGGTCCCTTACAAATTCAAAAAAACCCATATTAGTCCCTCAAAAGAACTAAAATGGGTCCACTTTGAATTTGTTAGGGACTAACTGACTAATTTAACATTATAAGTATAAACCCCTTATTTTATAGCGGTAGGTTATATTTACAAATTTTTTTGTTTACAAACTCTTATAAACTATACTATCTTCTTCCGGGAGAACACTGGTTACACTATGTTCTCCCGGGAGAAAATAGTGTAATTTGTAAAAAATTTCAAAAAAAATTTGTAAACAGATCATTCCCCTATTTTATATACATACATTTTAATCATGTTACTGGTGACAAAAGTACTGTAATTTTTTTTTTTGGTAATAAAAAATATCGTACTCAATATTAATATGGGTGTTATATTTACAAATTTTTTTGTTTACAAACTACACTATGTCTGACCGGTCATATACTAATTAAGAGTGTATGACCGGTCATACTTAGTGTAATTTGTAAAAAAAAATTGTAAACGGATCATTTTCCTATTAATATATATCAAACATTATTTATAATATACACATTAAAACATAAATAAAATGTTTGACATATCGAAGTATTTATTATTAAAAAGATATCTTTTGCCAAATGCTTTAAGAATATTAATCAAAAAAACATTTATTGAAAATTTTAATTATTTAAAATAAAAAATAAAAAATCTAAGCCATAAAAATTGATATATCTTATTAGAGTTTAATGTTTCTGTTTTTGTTAGGGAGTGTTTGGTAGAGGAGATATTTTTTTAACTAGGTAAATGTGATTACCAGTAATATGGTAGAACAATGAGTTTGGTAGAAAAGTTAAAAAAAATTGTTTGGTTGGTCAAAATTTTATCAGAAAAATTGGGCTAAATTTTGTGAGTCTTTATTTGGTTGAAAGTGAAATAATGATAGACAAATATGTTGAAATACCGAAAATAACCTTTGATATTTCAAAAATGTAGACATGTGTACTTAGAAGAGGGTAATATATTTTTTTTTTTGGATAACAAAAAAGTTTAAGTGGGGTTAGACATTGGTATCTCAGTAGGGTCAGAGAAGACCCTCCAACCTCTTTGAGAATTTCTGGGAGGGATTACATATCACCCACCAACAAAGTCCTCACATCGGCCAGCGAGGTTTGAACCCACGCCCTTGAGGGGTATGGACCAAACCCTTAGCCAACTATGCCCACCTTTGTTGTTTTAGAAGAGGGTAATACTTTGCAATTTAGCTAGTTTTCTACAAATACCACATTCAAAGTGGTAAAAATCTATCATGATTTGCTATTGGTTTTGCACATGTTTGGCAAAGGATGGGGAAAAGAGAAGCATAGCTTAAGTTTTTTAAATCTTTCTACCAAACAAAGCAATCATGAAATACCAATTCAAGATAGATGGGGAACCAAATGAAAAGCTTGAACTAAACGCCCCCGTATGTAGCAAAAGTTTCTCTATCACACAAACATAAAAATAGGTGGGTCCCATTGTAAAGAAAGAAGAGAAAAAATATTAATGAAATCCATTCAATTTTATATAAGTGTGGCATAAAAACTTTTTCTATAATAAAAAAAAAATATTTTTCCCATCTTATTATTATTTTTATTTTGATAAACCACATATGAGAAGAGTCAAACTTATTCAGTCGGGAACATTCATATAATGGTTGGGCTAACTCTTTCAAAGAGGATTTTTTGTATTCAAAATACTTGAAACCAAGATCTTACTTAAGCGAAATCAAATATCTATCTCTTTCTCACACACACGCACACATATGTGTGTGGGTGTGATATGATCAACTTATATCGGTATAAGAATAACAAGTCTTACACCACATATTAATTGTTGATTTCCGTACATCTAACAGTTGAGATTTATTATAATTAATAATAATTAATTAATTAGACTTAATAATTCTAAACTGTTACATGCATAAAAATCAACTCTTCGATGCGCTTCGTGTCTCTGTTTGTTCGTCCTTTTCATGTAGCTGATTTATGTGCAGCAGTAACAAATTTTTCATATATATATATATATATATATATATATATATATATATATATATATAGGTTAAAGTATTTAATGAGGGGAATTATAACCATATAAAGGGTGAAAACATTAAATATAGAGAATCATAACCATAGACCTATCATCGTTGCACGTGCAACAACTTTAAATATGATTTTACATATATAGATAGATAGATAGATATACATATAGACGTATGATACTGGTGTTAAATTTAAAGTTTGACATGTAATGTGAGAGTCGTTAGATCAATGGTGTCACATGCTTACAAATCAGAGTCGTTGATTTTTTTATCTAACGGTTGTGAGATAATGTATCAAACTTTAAATTTGATATTGGTGTCAAAGAATCTTATATATATATATATATATATATATATATATATATATATATAAGGTAGGAGGCAAAAAAATTAATTTATTGTTTTTTAATAAAAAATTACGAATAAGTAATTGTTTTAAAATTAATTACGAAAATATAGCAGTCAAACACGCCCCAGAGGGGCGTGACCGGTTGGAGAGAGACACGCCCAATGTTGGGCGTGACCTCAGCGTGACTCACGCCCACATGGGGCGTGACCAAGTTGGAGAGAGACACGCCCAATGTTGGGCGTGACCGAGGAGAGAGACACGCCCAATGTTGGGCGTGTTTCACCAGGTGCTGCCACGTGTCACAAAAGTCAACAATTTGACCGTAAAACTTTGGAAGTCCATAACTTTTGACTCGGGTATCCGAATTAGGTAATTTTTTTTTATTCCACATAACTTTTCGAAATCTACGTAATGACACCTAATTTGACCTATTTTGTCTGTCACAAAAAAATTTGAATTTACAACAATGATACCATAATTATTAAAAATGACATGACTTTGTTACCTTATAATTATTACTAAAAATAATCTAACATTTTTATAATCATGAACAAAAACTTAAAAATCAAAATAAAACGAAAAGCACTCAATTAACTTTTTAATATAAATTATTCGATATTCTGTCACCGACAGATGTTAACTTTTATTAATTATAAATTTCATAAAATTCTTCATTCAAAATTTTAATATATATCTCAATAACATACATAATTAACCTTATCATAACTTACCATAATCATAAGGATCTTTATTATGAATGTTTCTAATCATAACAGTGGTTTTCTGTCCATTAATTTTTGTTTAAACGTTCTTATGGTATCATTATTGTAAATTCAATTTTTTTTTGTGAGAGACAAAATATTCCAAATGAGGTGTCATTACATAGATCTCGAAAAGTTATGTGGATTCAAAAAAAAAATTACTTAATTCGGATACCCGAGTCAAAAGTTATGGACTTCCAAAGTTTTACGGTAAAAATGTTGGTTTTTGTGCCACGTGGCTGCTCCTGGTGAAACACGCCCAACATTGGGCGTGTCTCTCTCCTCGGTCAGACAGTCACGCCCAACATTGGGCGTGTCTCTCTCCATCCGGTCACGCCCCTGTGGGGCGTGTTTAACTGCTATATTTTTGTAATTAATTTCAAAACGACTACTTATTCGTAATTTTTTATTAAAAAAATAATAAATTAATTTTTTTGCCTAAGGTAGGATCCTTTCACCGTGTCAAATTTGAAGTTTGACACCTCATCTTACAACCGTTGATTTTTCTGATCTAACGGCTCTCATATGAGGTGTCAAACTTCAAATTTGACACCGGTGTCAAAAAAGATCAATGGTGTCACATGCTTGCAAATCAGAGTCGTTGATCTTTTTTGATCTAACGGCTCTAAGATGAGGTGTCAAAATTAAAATTTGACATTGGTGTCAAAGAATCCTACCATATATATATATATATATATATATATATATATATATATATATATATTTCTTAATTAAAAAAAAAAAAAAAAAACTTCGAAAAACTTCGATGAACGTCTGTCAGTAAAACTCGTACAGAAAAGTATTCACCTTTTTTTTTTTTCTCAAAAAAAATAAAAAAATTCTTTGTTTGATTTTTGTGTGTGCTATGTATTGGTCTGTTTGGTGCAGAGGGTATGTGCAATCAACATTTCCGATGTTTGAATTTTGAAACAGAGGCAGAACCCGTCACTGTCCCCACGTGTCAGTCACCGACGAGTGACTAGCTTTCCCCTTTGCCATTGTCTCCCATTCACATTCACTTGTTAGGAATTTCCAATTTCTCCAGAATCTTCTCTTTCCTCCGGCCACCATGCTCTGCTCGGCTCGAACCGGAAAATCCGGTTCGAATTGGCTCGACCGGCTCCGGTCCAACAAGGGAATCCCCACCGGCGACGACCTCGACCTCGACTCCTTCCTCCTCACCACCCATTCCCATTCCCCCCAGCCCCGCCCCAATAATCCGACCCGGACCCGCCCCTCCGAGATCCACGACCCGCCAATGAGCACGCTCCTCGCCGAGCTTTTCAACATGGGCAACGCCACCCTAACCCAAACCTCGAAGAAATGCCCCAGGAAGCAGACGAACCCTAAATTCTTCCTCGCTTCTTCCTCCACCGACACCCGCAACGTCACCGCCGGCGGCGGCGCTGTCCCCTCCACCCTAAGCGATGCGGCGGAGGCAGAAAGAGAAGAAGAAGAAACAGCCGTGGATCGTGGGGAGGAAGAGGAGGAGAACGACAATGACGGAAACGAGTTGAAGGGTTTCACGAGGAGTGAGGTGACGGTGATTGACACGAGTTGTACCGGGTGGAAGGTGGACAAGTTCGTGTTCAAGAAGAACAACGTTTGGAAAGTCAGAGAGAGAAAACCGAAGACCAAGTATTTTGCGAAGAAGAAGAAAAGTAACGGGACCCTTGATATCAATGGAATTGAAACTTCCAAGTAAGAGCGTACGTATGTTGTGTTTCACAAATTAAGTTACTTTTTTGTTATGTTTTAAACATGGAAAGTTATTCATAACTAATACTAATACCCTTTCCAGCGCTCTGTACAACTATAGAAATTTTGCTTGCGTTTAATTCTTGAACTGTGTTATTTTTACTATATATGATCAGCGACGCCAATTTCTTTCCTCTCTTTTTTTTGTGTGTTTCTATGTTGGGGGTTGCTGTTATGGAATGTCTTTGTTGTCTGAACCGTTATTGCATGCTGGGAAAATGATGGTGTCTTTATATTTTATGTTGGTTTCGGCATATTGCTCCTTTTCCTATTCAAGAGTTGTGCTGCTGTGGGAATTTAGAATGATAATATCAGTGCTTGTTTAACTGTTTACGTTGGTTTCACCATAGGTTTAACTTAGATTTGACAGCGTTTTTTTGAACAATTAAATTGCAACTTCTGGTGCAATATGGATAAATCTTTAATTTCCTTGCCTTTTATTATGATTTCATGGGATCTCACTCCCTATTTCATAACCCTTTCTACCCTGGGGTTCGGTATCTTACCTAGAATTTTCTCTTTTAGGTTTGTTTCAGATACCATCTGATTTCCTGTTCTGATTTTGTTATGTTAAGCTTGATAAGGTTAAATGTTTGTAGAATTAACCCTTAGAGAATTTCACGCTGCAGCTCATATGATGGAAATGTGGGTGTTATTTAAGAACTACGAAAAATTGATAAATCTTCTCATTACAGATTCATATCTAATTCCTTTCCCATGTTCATAATCTTTGCTTAAGAGCACTTTGTGTGCTCAATTATAACTTAGCACTGTAAGTTATTGAAGTCTAATATTCCATGTTATTTACAATTAATTAGGTTCCAATATCAGAAATGTCAGTTAAATTTTATGTGACATTTAGAAGCTTGTGGTGTTGACAAGGGTAAATTGTGTTAACTTCGGTAAAAATTTATTACATCCACTGAACGAACTTGATGGTATGTTTTAAGCGCTTTGTGTATATTGAAGCACATGGTGTTGAATAAAAGGTTATAAGGCTTGTATTACCAATTGAATCAGAGTGCTCCTTTTAGGGCAGTCGTGTTCAGCTTTTTTTTTCATTTTCCATTTTCCTTTTGCTACTTAATTACTTGAACAAGAAAATATAAACCACTCCTCATTAAACCTCGACTAGCAAGGGTAGGGGATGATGGAAATCCTTGTAGGCAGTTTTACCATTACACATTTACAAAGAGATTATTTCTTGGATTCGAACCTGTGATATTTCAATCACAAAAAAACTGACTTTATCCAGGCCTGTCCTCTTAGAACCAAGACAATATAAGGGGAAAAAATATATATCTAAATATAAATGGAAAAACTGCCACCTTGCAAGGGTGGAGGTTGATGTCGTGCTTATGGCCTCCTAACTGCCTTCTATTGAGAATATTGTCCTAATTCTCTTTTTGATATAGGCTATGAGATCTGTTAATATCACTTGTATTGTCCTCTCTCAAATATAAGTATGATGATAATTCCTTTAACTACATACTACTGTTGTTGGTTGACAACAACACCTGACAGCCATAAGTAAAATGAAAAGAAGGAACAAAAGAAGGTAATGTCATGATGATTAATTTCGCTGCTAGGAGACTCTGTTATGTATAAGCTTCTAGCTGTGTTTTGATGATAAACCCCTCTGAGCAGCTCAGTTTTCTTTTTGCTCTTATATTAAGCTGTTCATAATTAATTTGAGTAATGATACTCTCACACGCATCTCACTCTTTCTCTAGAAGCCATCGTATATTGGACTAGCCCTTTTAAACTTTTTCTAAATGTCTCAAGTTATTCACATACAATCATTATGGCACGGTTAATCATCATCTATAATTTTGTCCCTTGCCATAAAAAAAAGAGAGGATTGCATAAATTCCAATCAATATTATCGTCTTTATATTTTTTAAATGAGTTTTAACACATGTTGCAATTGAGCTTGAAATTTCCATGTGTTTCAAGAAATTCAGGCTGTTTTAGTTCAATCTGCATACTCTCGCATCATTAGATTTATATGAATTCTGTTCTTGGTGGTCATTTTGTTTTAATATTACCATTCTATACCTCCCTCTCAATTTCCAAGCTTTTTGAGAAATTTAATAAGGCATCTTTATATTGTCTTGATCTAGAATTGAGACCAAGCTAGTTTTCTGTCAACAGCTGTTGATTTGTGCACCGTGCTGTTAGGGAATTCCCTTGACTATGGACATTGTAAAATTTCTACCAGTTTGTCTTTGGTGATATTTAACTTCGCTTCGAGTACACATAGTTGTGCAGTCCTGAGAATTTTATATTTCTTGTGCTGCTACATTCAGGGACAATGTAGTCAACGTGATAGGAGAGAAGCCTGCTAAGACACACAAGGTGATCTAACGCCTCATCCCAAAACGAGGCAAGTGCACTTACTGTGAGCTGCTTTGTGGTTACTGATTTTTCTTTTGATGCTTTAATGAGGCTATTTTGGTAGAAAGTATTTGAAGAGTAGTGAAAGGAGTGAGATTGATGTAACTAGACTACAAGGTTGTCCGAATAGATCGATCTTCTTCCTTTCATTTCTACTCTTCAAATACTTTTTGTTTCTACATTGATGAGAAATATACATAACACCTTGCAGGTTCTCTTTTTCCAGGTCTTCCGAAAAATCTGGAAAGAAAAACACATCTGTCATTTTAATAAAAGCCATTGCTTCATATAAAAGTGCAAAGGAACAAGAACAAAGTCTAACAATAGCTAAGAGAGTCAGAAAATAATTGAAGTCTTTACAAGCCATTTACTTGAAATTTTAAGTTGGCTGCAGCAAGTTATGATGCAGGCTTCGCCTAGATGCTGTATGGCGGTGGCACTATTGGTCTTCCATTGGCATTTATCAATTAAAAACAATGTTTATTCTTGAAAAGAGCTTAATTTGAGTCACTTTTGGAATTCTAAACATGCATTGTAGTGTCAATAACATTTACCTTTGTAAATGTCTCTTCCATTTTCCATTATTTGAAACATTATTTCTTCAATATATTTGCAGCTTTATGTTACTTCGTCATTTTTTACTAGAATTTTTTCTTGTGTCCGATGGAACTCATACTTTGGGATAATTCTTTTAAAGCTGAATTGGTTTAAGTTCAGCTAAGCCATTAAGAAGTGCTAGTGGGGAGTGCCATTGTACAAAAAAATTGGATTAAGATCATCTTATGTCACTAAATAATATGAGATTGTCACGTTATGAGATAAAAAAACATAAATAATTATAATTGAATTTACCATTATTCATGTAGGCTCTAAATTAAGGGGTTGTATTTGTTAAAATGTTAACATTTATGTTAGAATATTAGCATTTAAATTAGAATATCGGTTAAATTAATCTTGAGGTTCTTGAACTGTTTGGAAATTTTTAATTATTTTTTTATATTTTAGAAGTTTGTACTAAAAATTTTTAGTTGGTTCCTGCCATTTAAATACTCCTAGAAATTTTTTGTAATAAATTAAAAAGAAAATAATTCTCCAAGTTCACTTTTTTTCTTTTTTTTCTTATCCTTATTATGGTCCGTGATTGCATATTTGCACCTCCAAATAAACCATACGCGCAGAACCATTGTGATTTGAGCGCCACTTTGCAGAAATGGTGTTAGCACTCGCTCTGTTCACAAATAGTTCATGTTCTTGTTCTTCTATGATGTTTCATCCATACCCATTAAACCTTTCGCATTCCCTTCAACTCTCACTTCATTCATCTTCAACCTTGTATCCTCAACATGAAGCTCAAGCCTTGTTCTCCGTCACCAAAACGAACATCAAATCACAACCATTCAACAAGGAGTGTTTCCGATCCTCCGTTCATGCATTCTTGCAGTGCTGCTGCAGTAGCTCACTCGCCATTACTGACGTTGAATTAGGTGAAAAACTCTCTGAGTCAAATTCTCAAACATATAAAATGCAGCTATTATAAACCCATGTACTGTGTCATGTGTGTCCATTACTGACTCATGTTTTGTTTCAGGGACGCTCTTCTCTTTGTTTCGAGAAATGGGGATTGTCTATGAGGAAACTCAATTGCTCTTGCTCAATAACCCTGACCTTACGTTGGTGTCAATGGATTCATTGCGTGCTCGGGTTCTATGTCTACAGTCTCTCGGGTTGGATCGTGTTGCCCTGAATTACTTGGTTATGAAGCGTCCAACTGTGCTAACAGATAAGGAAATTGACACCTTGTTAAACTTTTTGAGAGATGAATTGGAAGGACAGCTTGAACAAGCACAGCTGAAGCGCTTTTTATCCGTTACTGAACCAAGATTCTTTGTGGGTTTTCCTCAAAAGATCCAACTCCTTGTTGATCGAGGAATTCCTGTTGATAAGGTTGTCCATGTGCTTAACAAAATAAATTTGACAAAGGCACTTTGTCATAGGTCAATGGATGAAATTGATAGGATCATAACTTTCCTGGAGCCCTTTGGTGGTATTAGTTTGATTATAAGGTGGCCTGCAATTCTCAACTACGATTTGGATAATCAGCTGATTCCAAAAATCAAAGTCCTAACTCAGCTTAATGGTGGAGATGTGCGTGACGTTGGGAAAGTGCTGCATAAGTTCCCAGCAATTTTGAGTTATAGTGTGAAACATGTGGAGCAACATGTTGAGCTCCTTAAGTCTTTTGCAAACCTTGATGACCAAGAGATATTTAAGTTAATACTTGAATTTCCAGCTATAGTTACTAATAGCAGAGAGAGGAAACTGCGTCCTAGAATACAGTTTCTCAAGGAATGTGGGTTAGATTCAGGTGATATCTTCAAGTTCTTGATTAAAGCACCTTTGTTTCTAGCGCATTCATTCCGTGAGAACATTGCCTGTAAACTTGTGTTTCTGGTCAAGATTGGGTATAAATATAGGACGAAGGACTTGGCAATGGCAATTGCATTTACCACCAGGTCAAGCTGTGAGAACATACAGAAGGTCATCACTCTATTTTTGAGTTATGGGTTTTCATGTGAAGATATTGTTAATATGAGCAGGATGCAGCCACAAATATTGCAGTATAATCATACTTCATTAGAGAAGAAGATGAAGTACTTGATAGAGGAGATGGACCGTGACATTGAGGAATTACTAGTTTTTCCAGCATTCCTCGGTTACAAATTTGACGACAGAATTAAGCATAGGTATGAAGTAAGAAAGAGTATAAGCGGGGGAGGAATGTCTCTCAATAAGCTTTTAACTGTTTCAACTGAGAGATTCGACAAACGAAAGAAGGCCTCTGCTCTAGGCAATCTGAATTAAAATAATGGCGAGTGTAAGTTAATTTATTTTCCTATTATTCCTTGTGCCTCAAGGTCTTTCCCAAGAAACGTTACTGGAAAGAATAATATCATTTCCTCAACACTTAGAAGACAACTATCACCACTACTTAGGTGTTGACAGAAGAAAAAAAAAATGAAGTGAAACCATCTACAGTCAAATATAAACACAGGCAATTGTGACCTTTGAAGCTATAGCGTGTTAGAAGCAACATTTTTCTAGTGCAAAATACCTTATTTTTCACTGGCAACTGTTGCGGATATTTGCTGCTTGTGCTGTGAATATACAAACGACAAGTTGATTTCCTTTAAGCTGTGAAGATATTGGTTTTGTTTTATCGTGAGGACAAGTAACCGAATCAATAGACGTAGTTCAATTAGACTAGTTATTCAAAGTTTGCGGCTTTGTAGAAAGATATATCGTTGAAAGACACCTACCGTTACGCATTCCTAAAAATGGGTTACTGTCATCGGAATTTCGGCTATGGTGTGTATGTATATGTGGCTAGCTTCTCTCTCTACTAATAATTGTTTACTAACCAAAATGTTATAGTATTAGTATATCTTTGTTCTGTGGCATTGAGGAAGACAGTAGAGAAGGACCTTGTTCTGCCTGAGGCAGATGTGTCCGACCGTAGGTCGTAGGTCGAGTATTTGATGTTGGATCTAGTGTTTTCTCTCTAAATATTTATGAGTTAGGTACCTTGGGAACAACGAATCACTAAACACTATACGATGGCCTGAGCCAGAGGGGGTGTGTGTGCATGTCGTGATTGCATAAAATAGAGTTTTGCTGATTGGGCTTCTCGTAAGTATGGGCCTTTTTCAGGTCCATAACAGACCTGGTTTCAGAGATTTTCAGAAATTATTCCAGTTGTTTATGAAGATCAAAGATTTCATTTTTTGAGGAGGATAAAATGTCCGTTTTGCTTTTTTAAGAAATTATTACGTTTTAAAGTTAAAAAAATTGAGTCACCAAATTTTATTTGGAGTTTTGCTGAAAAGGAATCAAGGAAAGGAGTTTTCTGAAACCACGTCTACAAGGATATCCATTATTTACATCCTCTGAATAGCAATTACGTATACGATTTTGTAATTTTATGCAGATAATGTAGTATAATCTTCGTACCTTTTCTAGATAAGAGGATGAAATACTTGATATAATAGAACGTAGTGATATTGAAGAGTCAATGGTTTCTCCTGCATGTGATTACAAAAGTCTATTACACAATTTGAACACACAATTTAAGCAGTTATGAAGTAAATAAAGAGAATAAAGAAGTTTAGGCATTTACCTCGAGTATATACCGCAAAAAAGCAAGAGTACAATGGAAAAAGAATGTCTCTCTCAATGTGTAAGTTTAGCTAAAGTTGTCGATCTGATTTGCAAATTGGATTCTTAAGAAGCTATTGAACGATAACTGGGGTAACTGTTGATTTACACGAGAATACGTAAAGAACCTTGGGATACATCCTCTTAAAAGCTAGCTCAAAGGGTGAGAGTACCCAAGGCCTTATAAACTCTACATTAGTTGTCCATACAACTAATGTAGGACTATATATCTCAACACGCCCCCTCACACAAGAGCTCATTGGGCTTGAAGAATTGATGATGCAACAGGCCCAACCTACCTGTACTAAGAAATTCCACAAGAGAAAGTGGGGTGTGCTAAAAAATTCCAAAGAGAAAGTGGGGGGCGGCGAGGTTTGAATCCGGGACACAACACGAGGCTCTGATACCATATACCATGTAAATAACCAATTAAATCCAAAAACTTAAGCTAGTGGGTGAGGATTTTTTTAATGGTTTTATATATCTCAACATGCCCCCTCACAAGAGGGCTTGAAGTGTGGACAATGCACAGGCCCACCTACCTGTGCGAAGAAAGAATTCCACTAGAAAGAAAGTGGGGGGCAGTGAGGATCGAACCCGGTGCACCGAGACTCTGATACCATGTAAAGAACCTTGGGATACACCATCCCAAAAGTTAGCTCAAAAGGTAGGAGTGCCCAAGGCCTTCTAAACTTCACATTAGTTGCCCATACAACTAACGTGGGACTATATATCTCAACAGAATATACTGGGTTTACGACGGTTGTGTACCCTGGGGTACAGGAATTGCTAAATCCCTCCTTAAATATGCATCATATCTATACCGGTCCTAATGCTCATTTATTCACGCCATTCACTCATTTCACTGGCAACAAGGCTTTGGACGCATGAATAAAATTAGCACTCTATTGGACAAAGACAATGTTTTCAACATACATTTAGGGAAGGCAACACGAGTAGATTGGCTAGCCAATTTCTCTCTTCTTCAGTATTCAGAAGAACCTCTTATTATTTTTAATCAGATTGTTCTTAGCTGATTTAGTAGTTGTAGCTGGAACTCGTTGTATTTGTTTGATTTCATTGTTTTGTTTTACCTGGGCTTCACCCTTTAATTAAACAAAAATTAAAAATCTTTTCGTCATAGAATTTTTCAATTTCCAGGCTTCCATCGAAGGATCTTTGCCTCAAATGAGAATTTTTATTTTTATTTTCAAATGTAAATATCTAGTAACTAATTTCGTATCATCTGGAATTATTGCACGATGACTCTATTGTTAGAAATATTTGAATGCGAGTGTGTGAGCAGTGGTAAGTCTCACATCGGTTATAAATGTACCAAATAAGAATCACATAAATGCAAAAGACCCATAGATATATAGCTTTAAAATTTTAAGTTGAGATATAGTGTCAACTCACCTATCATCATTTGGCTTATTGGTGAAAGAATCATTTGTAAAAGATTGTGGACTCTCCCATATACCAATTCACATAGTAAAGCACAAATATATCTTTAATTCCCTTTATTGTTTTTAAATATCTAGTAAGTAAAGAGTGGAAGATATGCAATAATATTATAGAATGAGATGAAAAAAAATTATTATACCATTATTTGAATATTTTATGATGGAAAAGAATAAATTTTTTATTCTATTGTGTATAAAGTAAACGAGATGATAAAGGAATTAGTGAATAACAAGTTGATTTATTCAATTTCATCCTGTACCCCAAAAGAAAAATAAAAGTATAAAATGAAATAAATTAAATATATTCTATAATGTTGCATTATATTCCATCTTATTACAAACAATTTAAATAATAACAATTAATACCGTTATGTCCAAAGTTTGAAATTGAAGGGATTGTATTTGTTTATTCTTTTATGATGTTGATGTTTTGTTTTACGGTAAAAGTTATATTTATAATTTTTTTATTTATAAATTAAATTATATTTTATCGGTAAGATATTTTTGAGTGAAATCTTACTGGTAAGACATATTATAATTTATTTGTTTGTTAAAAAAAATTGTCAATATAACTCTCCTCTTGTTTTGTAATGCAGTGTTAAAAGATGCATATCAGATATCAAATGATGGTAATTCAGTTAGTGCATGAGAACTGAGCAGTGGAAAGAAAATGGCTTCCATTCGATTTCCACATACTACCTTTGAGGGGGCTTAAAATCTTTATTCCTGATTCATTCTGCATTTCAGATTAGTCTCGTACTGGCTCAAAAATCATAGTTTATGAGGATATTGAAAAAAATCTACTTATCTCAAAGAGATAATTAGTGTAATATTTCAGAAAAAAACAAAAGAAGAAAAAGAAGACGCAGATCAGGTGGGAAACTGATTGTGTGATCTGAGTAACATATTAGATCCGTTATGCATGAAACTGGACATGACTAAGTCAATTTTCACCAAAATTTGTGACTTTGGCAGTCTATACAAAACTTCTCGGGTCATGCACTAAAAATATTATAAACAAGTAGTTTGTTTTCTATAAAGTTTTAAATGTTTCAACAATTGGTCCACGTTTAATGGCTGAAATTTTCTTGTTATTTTTTCAATCATCCCGTCAAACCAAACAAGTTTTCCCAAAAGTTGGGCATTCTGGATTTTCATCCAGACTTCATCTTCATAATATCATTTTAAAATTGTTGGAAAAATATAAAATTTACAAAATGAGTGTCTGGTTTCTTTTAGAGTTATAATTTTACTCATTAACAAATAATTATGAAAACTGCTTTGTCTTATCTTATTTTTCTCAAATTAAAAAAAAAGGAAAATAATAATCTTAATATAAAAAATAAGACAAAATGTTTTAAATCAAAGATTTTCTTTAATTTTTTTTAATAAATCCAGTTAATTTTTAGAAAAAGGAATCAACTTTGTAAATAAGACAGACTCAACTTTGTTGAATTAACTAGAACAAAAAAGATTCAAATCCCAAAACACCTCTAAAATTTAGGCCAAAAATTCAAAGTGACTGGTGTATGCTTTTTATGCGAGTTTTATATCTGGGTTGAGTTCTTGATAGAATTGCATGATACTAGAGGGTTCTTTTTATGCATCATAAAGTGACAATATATGTGACTCACTGTTTACTCGTCTCTAACACTGACGTGACCCCTTAACAAATTTCAATTATTAACCGAGAAATGTCACATTCAATATATATATATATATATGGACTTTACATCTCTCATTTTAACATGAGGTTAGAAAATCTCCTACACACACATAATTTTAATGGGTCCCACCATAAACAAAAAATAAAAAAAATATTGCACGCAAAACGAACTCTCACTGACATGAGAAAATAACTCTCATATTAAAGGAGAAACTGTTTTTCGTATATATATATATATATATATATATATATATATAGGGGTTTGCATTTGTCATTTAACATGACACAACAAACTTTCCTACACACACAATATTTTGTGGGGCCCACACTTTTTGAAGAAAAAAAAATTACGGCACGCAAAACGAATTTCTATAACATTACACAATCATTTTTCCTATAACATAAGTCTTATAAAATTCATATATATATATATATATATATATATATATATATATATATATATATATGTATGGGGAGAGCTATAGTTACATTTTTTTAATAAATTCTTACATATTATACTATATAATAGGGATAATATATTGCGTGTTAGAATGTATTACCTTAATATCTCTAGTACATAGTATAGTTTGCAAACAAAAAAATTTGTAAATATAACTTTCCTTATATTTATATTATACATAAAACTTGAAATGTAAGTGTTATTGAAATTGACTTTATTCTAGAATATTTAAAGTACATACGGGTGTAAACGAGACAAATGGTTTGTTAAGGACCTACAATTTAGTTGCCTTAACTCGATTCATTTTTAAAATAGTACATGTTTGAGTTCATTGAAGTAGGGGTGTTTGCGGTCTGGATTGGATCGGTTTTGGAAGCAAAACTCATCCGATCCAATTCCTTCGGTTTGATCATGTAATCATCCATTCGGTTTAGATTTTTTTTAAATCCGATCCGATCCAATCCAATTTTTTTCGGTTTGGATTGGATCGATTTTCGATTTTTTGAATATCCTAAAATTAGTTTCATGATTATT